AATTGAATAAAACATCCCTTCTAGAGTTTGAACGTTAGTGCCTCCATTCATGTGTTAGAACCTAATACTCAATATGATAGGATTAAGAGGTGAGGCCTCTCAAAATTGGTTAAGCCCTGAAGGGCCCAACTTCATGAATGTGATAGTGCTCTTATAATAAAATAGGCTGAAGTGAACTCCTTTGTTCTTTCTGCTTATGAGGACACAAAGAAGTCACCATCTATGAGGAGCAGGGTCCCACAAGAAAATAAATCTTCTGTATCTTTGATCCTGGACTTTCCAATCTCCAGAAATGTGAGCAACAAATTTTACTATTTATAAATTATCCAGTCTACAGTATTTTTTTATAATAACCTGGAGTGACAGAGAAAATTCTGAAGGAGAGCCATGCTTTCAAAATTAAATTTTATTTACAGAAATGTCTTCGAGAGGAATCCCCCAATTAAAATATAGTGTTTTACCTTCAGAGTTATTTCCTTTGGAGACAATGTGTAGGAATTGTCTGTGAAAGAATATATGTCTTCTCTTGGTTCTAGTAATAGGATGATTAGAATTTTTTAAATTATAAACTGCCTGATTTGTTCCAATCTGTCAGGCTGTATAAAAATCTTGTATGCTTTGTTACAAGGACATAAGCTTTGAAGGCTAGAAGACAGGGTCTAGTAGTTAACTTCTAGGTTAGCATAAATGGCCATAGCCTGAAGGAATGCTGGAACCCACTCAAGCTCCCAAATAAATCAAAGATCTCACAATTAATATTACAAAATGGCCAACTATATGTTTTTGTTGGCCAGAAATTTCTGCCTCTTTATTTCTCCTAAAGTGTCTGTAGTTAGTAATTTGGTTGTGTGAAATTTTCAAAATAAATTTTCTATAACTCTCTTCCACTGTAAATATAATATGGTCCTTTTTTAAACCACAGGTGGGTGTTGGGAAAGGTGGAAGAGGGGATGTAACAAAAATCAAATAAACAATAGCATTTTGCAAGTCCTGAAAGGTTGACTTCTATAGCACTTACTAGCCTGTTGACTCATTTGGCACCTGGTACATTGGCTTCTTCTCAACTTAATTACTTCATGTTTATATGTTTTGACACCAACCAATTCTTTTAAATTTTTTTTTAGTTGTAGATGGACATAATACCCTTATTTTATTTGTTTATTTTTATGTGGTGTCAGGGATTGAACACAGTGCCTCATGCATGCTAGGCAAGTGCTAGACCACCAAGACACAACCCCAGCCCTGTCTCCAACCAATTCTAATCATTTGTTGCTATAGAGCAACACAAGCAGTGTCTCACTTCATCTTTTATAAAATTGTATAACCATTTTAGAATATAGTTAGGTATGTTCTTAAAAAATAATACTGGAGGAGAAAAAGGAAGGAGACAAACTAAGGAAATTGGAATTGTAAAAAAAGATTTTAATTAACAATAATGTATCAATTTTAGTTAATTAGTTATAACAAATGTAGCATAGCAATTTAGGATGTTAACAACTGGAGAAATTAAGTATTAGGTATATATGAACGCTCCATAATATCTTCACAAGTTTTTTGTAAGTTAGTAATTACTATAAAAATCAAGGTTTCTTCTCGAAGAGTTTGAAGGTTCCCAACACATGAAAATGATAAATGTTTGAGGAAATGGAAATGTTAATTACCTCATTTGATCACTGCACAATGTGTAGATGCATTAAATTATCATACTGTACTTCATAAATATGTACAAGTATTACTTGTGGACTAATAATTTTTTTTAATATTTATTTTTTAGTTTTCAGCGGACACAACATCTTTGTTGGTATGTGGTGCTGAGGATGGAACCCGGGCCGCATGCATGCCAGGAGAGCGCGCTACCGCTTGAGCCACATCCCCAGCCCTACTTGTGGACTAATAATAAGAATAACTCACTAAAAGCCAAAACAATGAATGTTGTGGATCAAAATAATTGAAAAACACATTTGTTATAGTTTGCACTAAAAAATAAAGTTTATTTTTGGAAGATAGCTAAAATGAATTAAAAAGTTAAACACTATATAATTTATCCCTTTTATGTCTTTATATTTGGACAAGAAAATGGAAATAGATATGCATAGAAAAATATGTATATGAATGTTCATAGCAACTTTATTTGAAATAGAAACAAACTGGACATAATGCAAATGTCCATCAACAGGTGAATGGATTACTAAACTGTTACATATCCACATAACAATACTCATCAATAAAAAAAGGAATGAACTATTGATACATATAGTAGGGTGAATAAATCTTGAACTAATTGGGTTAAATTATCTGTACAAAAACAAGATATCTTCTATATGATTCTGTTTTAAAAAGATAGAACACTAGAAAATTCAGACCATTTATCATGACAGGAAGCCTTGTGGGAAGAATTTCAAAGTGGCACCAGGAAATGTGGGTATGATATCTTCACAATGATAATGAATTCACAAGTGTACACATATATCAATTACTCTGTATAGATTGTACACTTTAAATTTGTGTTGTTTATTTTATGTCAATTAAGCCCAATAAAACTGTTTTTTTGTTTTTTAAAGCCCACTTAGTCATATGCAAGAAAAGAGAAATAATTACTTTAGGTTCATATAATTACTACTCTTGATGGCAAAACATAGCTCTGAGTTTTGGTAGTAGAAATTCTGCTACTAACTAACCATGTACCCTTTGGGGGACCAGTTTCTTTCTCAGAAAAAAAGTGAAGCATTGCCCTTAAGGTCATTTATAGGTATATATATTTATAATGATCCTAAGCATGTACCTTCTAAAATTATTTAATAGAAATTCAGTAGCATTAATTTCAAATACATTTTAACTTGAAATTGCCTAATAAAGTCATACTAATTAGGAAACAATGTTCATACTGGAATTATCCTAAAGAAATATTTGTAATATATCAATTTTTTGAAAATCTATTCTATCCTAGAGAATTAGAATTTTTTAAAAAGCAGATTTATTAAGATAAAGTTCATATAATATACAATTTACCTATTGAAAGTATATAACCCAATTAATTTTGAGAATAATCACAGATATGTGCAAACATAACATGATCAATTTTATAACATTTTCATCACCTCAAGAAAAAAAGAAAGAAAGGAAGGAAGGAAGGAAGGAAGGAAGGAAGGAAGGAAGGAAGGAAGGAAGGATGTAAGTTTTTCAGTCCCTTACTGCAAAGTAGGTTTTTTTTTTTTTGTGAGGGGGGCAGGGGTGGTGAAAAATGTTCTGGAACTATATAGTGGTAGTGGTTGCACAATATTTTGAATGCACTGAATTCCAATGAATTGTATACTTTATAATGATATATTTTACATTAAGTTGTATTTTATGACATACATATAAATGTACCCATACAAAATTTAGCTATTATCCTCCTATCACTCTATCCCTCCTCACCAGCCCTAAATAACCAGTGATCTACTTTCTGTCATGGATTTTCCTATTCTGAACATTTTACATGAATCATGTTAATATGTTTATTTTTCACTGGCTTATTTTACTGAGAAAAAATATTTTCAATGTTATCCATATTCTAGGGAATATTAGTCCCTCAATTTTTTTCATGGCAAATAATAATTCTTGGTATGAATACACAACATTTTATTTATCCATTCATTATGTGGTAGACATTTACATTGTTTCCACCTTTTGTGTATTATGAATCAAGCAACTATTAACATTCATGGATACATTTTTGTGAGGATGTATGTTTTGATTATTCTTGGTTACATATCTAAGAGATATATTGCTGCATCAAATGGCAATTATATGCTTATCTATTTGAGGACTTATGAGACTGTTTTCCAAAGTGGTTGCACTGTTTTGCATTTTAACTGATTTCCAATTTCTTTGCATCCTCACCAATGTTTGCTATAAAGTGCTTTTTAAATTGAAGCCATACTAGTAAATATGAAGTGATACCATAAAGGTATTTATTTGCATTTCCATGTTGACTAATGACACTGAACATTTTTTCATGTATTTTTTTCTAGAAATATCTCCTATAGTCAATATTTGGTATAGGCTCTTGGAATTCATGGACCATCAAATTGCGTGGAAATGATTATCATGGGAGTAATTATAAATTATATTTAATTATAGTAAATATTATAAAGTATACTTGTTTCATTTACACTGCTATATATTCAGTAAGAAATCTTAAGGAGTCCTTATTAACATGTACTGAAATACTAGATTAATTTCTAGCACATGATTATTGATGGGGGTTGAGAGGAGGTAGCCCAATCCCTATCAGAAAGGGGAACCTACTCTACAAATCGTTATTAGTGAAATCAATAGGAAACATCACAGATTGAATAAGTTAAGAAAAGTGTCCTATCTCTGTTTTGAAAAAAATAAGAAGATACTAATTAGAATGAAAAAAAAAAACAATTGCATTGAATCCATACCTTTACACAAGGAAGGTAACTGGGTAACAGGAGAGTGAGCAAGGTCTAGAGAGGTGCTAACCTGAAGGATCAGTAACTTTCAGGATGAGCAGTGGATGCTGGGAAAAATAAACTCTATTCAAAAAGAGTCAACACTGATTTTGGCAGATTATCAGTGTGCTACTGCCATCACAGCTTTACACTTGTGACATATGAAGATTGTTCCCAAGGGAGTAAATGAACTTTTGCCCAGTGGACTGAGAAGTCACCTGCACAGTTTGGACCTTTGCTATGACTGGATGGAGTAACAGTAGCCTTAGCTTTGGAAACTCAAAGGAATTTGCTTAGGTACTTTGAGAGGGTCATTATATTCTTATGACATATTCTTAGAACCTGAAAAAAACACGTTTATTAGCAGCTTACAAATTTTCATTTCTTTAGGTAGTTACCCTTGGTTTGTCTACCAGATCCGCTTTAGAGAATGGAGTGATTTGAATTTGCAACTAAAATCCTAGGCAGAATCCTTTTTAGGATATTTTATTTTGTAACTGCAAAGACAGCGAAGAAAAACAAACAATTAAGGTTCTGTACCTTATTTCTCCTTCTCTAATGTGGCCTGCCAGTTCTTCAATAAACTTCTCCCCTTTCATCCAGTAGATCATTGGCCCAGATTCTCCACTGAATCCAAAGAATGCTTTGCAAGGGATATTCAGAGGCTTACCTGAGAATGAGGAATAAAATGAGAAAATTGACTACTGGTTATCATTAGAGGCCAAGGGTGAGCCCTTTAATATCTGAAGTAAAACTCAGAGATGACATATTTTTCAACTGTTCTTCTAATCATCTTACCATTGTACAGGCAAAAAAAATTTAAAATATTATGAGGACTTCTGGGAAATTTAAATGTTCAAGCTATTATATAAACAAAAATAAAGAATAGTACTCATTTTTAAATTTATTTTTATGATTTCCTTCCCAGGAACTAACATGAAAGAATCAAATGGAAATAATCCCTTATTTTTTTGAGAGAATTAAGTACTGCTTAGTTGGACTTGCCTTTGAAGGTAACATTAATCAAAAGTATGAGTTAATCCTTAACTAATAAGAAGACATATCAGAAGAGACTATCCCCACTATTATTAAGATTGCACTGAGAAAATTTTTTTTACTCTGATCATTATCTTTTTAAAGAAACACCAATATAAAAAACAGTGATTGTTAAGTTTTGATATCAACTTGAATGGACTAAGGAATACATAGATTGCTGGTAAAACATCATTTCTGGATATGTCTGTGAGACATATCCAGAAAAGATTAGCATTGGAGGTGGTGAACTGAGTGGGCACCATCTACTCTGTTGGGGTCCTGGGTAGAATTAAAAGTCAGAGGAAAGGAAAATTCCCTCTCTTTCTCTCTCTATTGGAATTGGAGCAACTGTCTTCCCCTGTCTTTCAGCATCAGAAGTCCAAGTTCTCTGGATTTGGACTTAAGTACTAGCACCATCAGCTTCCTATAGTTCCTGGGCCTTCAGCTTTGGAAACTGAAGTTGTATCCTCCCCTTATTATGAGGCTGAAGCATGGTACTTCCTGGCTCTCAAGCCTGCAATAGCCTATTATTGGACTCTTTAGCTTCCATAGTCACATGATGTAATTTATCTAATAAATCCTCTATCATTTATCTATCTACTCTATCTACTTATCTATCTCTCTAATGATGATCTTATAATTTCTTCCTCTCTGGAGAACCCTGAGTAATACACAAACCAAAGGAAATTTTTGGAATTACAAATGTATCTATAAAAGTACATATGCATATACCTTATCATAATTATTCTTTTCATCACCCACTTTGTTGAAATAATTATAGGCAGTATTTCAGTACTTTTTATTATGAATCATGATTGTAGAAAAATACTTCATTTTAATTTTAAGTTTCTCATCAAATAAGCAATTGTAATACAATATTAAGACAGTATGGGAAAAGTAGTAGAAGAGCACAATCTTGATATTTTTGACTAAGGAATTCCCAAATCCATAAATCATATTACAGTATATCACTCCATAAAATGTACTCTTTTTCCTTAGTTAAAATACTAGATGAAGCAATGTAAAATATTTTTTCCTCATGGAGCTAATAGTAATTTTTCAGCACCATTATTCTAAACTATGGACAAATTCTCCATTGTACATTTAAATAAATTCAAAGCTTCCATGTTCTAAAAGTGAGTGCTTTCTGAAACCAAATCTCTTTAATCATCAAACTAGCAGATGACTTTTTTAGAGAACCATTTTCACAAGGAAATAGTTTTATTGGAATTAAGGTCTACATTAAGATAAATTGGAAATTAACAAAACTTCATAGTCATATGGTTACTGTGTGATAGACTGAGCTTACTCATAATAAGGGATTTGTTGCCAAATGATAGTTTTATTATACTGAAAATTTATCACTCAGCAAAATGATGTGTCCTGGACCTTTTAATCTTATCATAGTTGTCAGATCTTTCCCTGTCAAGAATCTGCCCTATATGTTTGACACAAATTTGAAATAAGGTTATGTGAAATATGCTTTCATATAAGGTTGTGTAAAAACAAGATTATCTTATATACTGGAAAGTGCACTAGACTAAGAGTCAGGAAACTTAAATCTTAGTTTTTGATCTAATGTGAACAAAGAAACTGGCTCTAGGCAGATTACCTAACTTTATGTAAACTGATTTCTCATATATGTAATGGGGATGGTAATAAAACTTGAGAGGTTCAAACAGGACAATGTATGCAAAAGTGCTTGCTGAACTCAAAAGTCTCAGTGAAATGTTGCATGGGTTGTTTTTCTTCTGAGGCTTAGTTATTTAAGTAGAAGTCAAATATGAATCATAATCCAATGTGGATACTGAGATAAATACACAATAATTTTACCCTGTCAATCTTATGTGCTTCTTTCACGGATGTCTATGGAGCAATATCCTTCTCTTAACAACATTCTGTAAAGTTTCTTTGGATTCTAGAGTTTGTATGATTCACCCTATCAGGCACCTAGTTCTCTAAATCTGAAGACAGGATTTTTCCCCTCTGCCTTGCTACCTTTTATTCTTTTGAAATTGAAGGCATTAAGAAATATCAAACCAGATGGCAGACAATCCAGAGATTTTTTTTTTTGGTACCACAGATTGAATCCAGGGTCACTCAACCACTGAGTCACATCCCCAGCCATTTTTATGTTTTATTTTGAGACAAGGTCTCAGTAAGTTGCTGAGGTTTTTGCTAAATTACTGAAGCTGGCTTTGAACTTGTGATCCCCTTGCCTCATCCTCCCCAGCCACTGGGATTACAGGTGTGTACAACCATGTCCAGGTCAATCCAGATATTTTGATAAACATTATTGTAAGGGATCCCAGTTGCTGAAACTACCAGTGTGTGTGTGTGTGTGTGTGTGTGTGTGTGTGTACACACACACACACACACACACACACATATTTTAGTTGTCATTCCTCTGGGCTATGTTGAAAGTACATATCAAATAAAATCTTTTAGTGATTCTTAATGTGTCAGTGGTTGGGTCTGGTTTAATTTTAATAGATAAAGACAATTATAAAGCAATGTGCAAAAAGGGTTGTCCTTGAGGTGGTCCATCAATAATGACAGTGTTTCTTTTTTCTTTGGCACTACACACAAGATACTGACTATTGTAGAAATTTCTCCTGAGAGGAATGTTTTTATTCTCCCATCATCTGTGTTCTTCTTAAATAAACACAATAGACAGGTATTTCAGCAGTCTAGTTTCTACAAATGCTGAATAAATATCCTGAAGCCTTTTGTCAATGGCCAAAACCAGGAAAACCATCCAACCATCATATGCAACACTCTGAGAAGAATACCAAATTAATAAGCTCTTGTGTCAGGTAGTGATATTCAATGTTTGCCAAAGGGTGGGCATCTCCTCTTCCAAAAGGTATGAGAAGGATCTCTGTATTGATTGGGCAAATAACCTGAAACAGAATCTCTCCAAGCATTTTTAAATCTGGCCTATGTGCCAACTCCTATCTACCATTGCCATCTGTTAGCTACTGTATTGTTTTGCCTGAAGAGATTTTCAAATTCATTCTGTTACTGTATGCCCTATTATTAGAGAAGGGCAATTTACATTTGTATATACGTAGTTTGAAGATTATCACAGTAAAAAGAATTTTGTGAGTTGTTACCTCAGTAATGAGGAAAGTTAGATGTGATGGAAAGTGGTCTACATGGAGTGAATTGGCTCTCCACTGCCTCAACATTTCCCCAATTTCCTTTCTCAGAGAGCTCTCTGAGTATCTATATCATGAGAAGTTTGCCTAGAATATCCATAATTTCAGCAGGCTTAAGTTTTTTAGCTGCCATGACTTTGCTTTTCATTTATCTTATAAACAGATAAACTCTAGTATTTTTTTTTTTTGGTCTTGATATTTGCCTTTTATTTTACGATAAACTCTAGTATTGATGTGTTCAAGAGGAGAAATTCTGGAGAGAATTTAAGCATTAAAGTCTTATTAAATTTTTCTTGGTGTTATTAGTCTATACTTTTAGAAAACAGATCATGAGGTAAGAAAATTGTGTTGTGAATGTTCTGATAGTGGATAGTAGCAGAGTTTGTATGCCTCTTCGTGTGGATATAAGTGTAAATGTAGGTGGGGTTAAAAAGGGAGTAGGAGTTGGAGAGGAACAAGATCTACATCATATAATTTCTGCCATTTCTAAATAATGAGCATATATATAGTGTGCTGGCAAATGTTTAAAGGGTGGTTTTCTGGAAATAAATATACACATAACATATATAAGTTAATTATAAATTATATTGATATAGAGGATACACATAATACAGTTTATAAATAACAATAGAACTATAATATTTTTTGTGTAACTTGATTCTTACAGAATGCTTTCATTTATTTTTGTAGAACTTATGTTTGCAGATGAAAAAGCAGTGTAGTTCCAATATGAGTATTTGTCAATATTAACATTGACATTAATGAGAAAGGTCAAAGTACAATAGATGCCTTTCATGACTTCACTCATTCTTCAGTTATATGAATGATTTATTTTGATGGATTGGACAACAGATTTTAATTTGCTTTTCAAATCTACAGAATTGCTCTTAATATATTTTTTTAAAAGCTGAGACTGAATTATCTGAGAGAATTGCAGGTAAGTGTGAAAAGATAAAAATCTATTTTATTTTGAACACATCTTAATCTTTCCCTCTGCTATGACTTCCTAAAAAATTTCTGAAAGGCAACAATTTTGTTTTCAATTTATCTCTGCCCCTCATGGACTACACATTTTGTAAAGCCCACAGATAACCAACAATACCCTTTTCTTTTATTTTTTAAAGAGAGCGAGAGAGAGAGGGCGGGAGAGAGAGAATTTTTAATATTTATTTTTTAGTTCTCGGCGGACACAACATCTTTGTTKGTATGTGGTGCTGAGGATCGAACCCGCCGCTTGAGCCACGTCCCCAGCCCCCTTTTTCTTGCCACAGTTTTTATCCCTTCTTGGTTTTTCTCTTAAACAATTTTCCATCTCTTTTAACATCTCTTTAAAATTGTCCTATTATCTCTACTTCTCAGGATGCACTTTTCTTCCATTGTGTCAGGCAAGCACTCCCATGATGGTTAACTTTTTTGTGAGGTATATAATTTCATTACTATTTTTTTCACATATAGTTGGGATTGTCTTCTGTTG